TTCTGGAGAACTTCAAGACATGTTGAAGAGGTCATTTAGCCATTTAAATCAGCTGTGTTGGATCAAGGACACATCTAAAACCTGCAGGATACCGGCCCTCGAGGCCTGGAGTTCGACACCTGTGGCCTAAGCGGAAAGGAATTGATAGTTTACATATACTTGCTGTTTTATATAGAATGCTGTGTGAATGAAATTGTCAGTATAATACATAATTATAAAAATTATAACAAAGCTGATAAAATTGGCAGATAAAATTGCAAAACATACTGTTAAAGGAGATCAGATACATTTAAATATCAGTATTAGCAAAGCAGAAATGGAGAGCATGATAATTCACAGAAAATGAGGAAAAGATGGTAGCGGTGGGAGGAGGAGAGGACAAGGGGGTGGTTTTATTCTATTCAAAGGAAAACAGGACACATAAGAAGTACAGAGAGCACCAGGAGAGAGGAGATTCATTTTTGGACACACTGGGTTAAACAGTAAACTATTCATTACAGGGATACATCAAAGGGGAAAATGTAGTCGCTGTGGAATAATTGACAAACATAGAACATGTTCTGTTGCACTCTGAAAATGATCAGGAAGAAAGAAGCTATATAATTTAAAACCAGGGGGAAAACAAGATTAAGCACGATATAAAGGATTTTTGAAAAGGAAATCCAGATGTGAAAGTTTTTGGGGGCTTTATTAGCCTGTTTCTAAAACAGGCTAATTTGTATGGAAGGATATGAGGATGTATATATGCGGTAGTATTCATCTATTTATTTTATTTTATTTTATTTTTATTAGTGTTATTATTTGGTATGAGCGAATCATGACCAAACTCCAAACCAGTTGGTGGCGGTATTGCACCACATCCTTGTTTGCCAACGTTTGTTGCCAACCGCCGACAAACCACAAAGACGAAGAAGACGTAGTGCGCGTGCCCGCCCAAAGCACAAAGTAGGCTTTCAGAAGAAACAGTGTAACCACAGTCATCCATACCAGTTGGTGGCGGTAATGCACCTTTCAATTGTTGGCCAACCGCCAATACAAATGTAAGAAAGAAGAAGAAGAAGAACCACAGTCATCATACTTGTTATCAGGGAGTTTGAGGTTTTTTTTTTCAAGCCGACTGAGACAAATATCGTGTGGGCTGTACTGAGCTTCCTTACTGCTGCCCCTCTGGTCTCCGGCAGATCACCTTTCTGTTTCTCATTCGTAATTGGAAACATATACGCTCTCGTAGCTCGGACAGCTTGGTCTCTTTGCAAGGTAGCCATTAACATGGGAGGTGAGTGAGCCAGCTGTCTTTACTAGTCCTAGTCCAACTACAAAGCCGGCCTTCTCCGCTGAGGGATCTTTAGTTCGGGTTATTCTGAGAGGGGGTCGAGGGTGAGTACATTATAATCATATTAGTTGCCTAACTCGATAACTGTCTACAGGGTTTCTCTCTCTTAGCTAATTTTGTTTTCGGCTGTACGTTCTGTTCAGCCCCTGTCATTTTGTCTGCTTGGAGCTTCCAGCAGGACCTTGTTTTTTTTAATCATTTGTTTTCAGCTATTTGTTTTCCTTCATATGAAGATGTTGTACTGAGTATTATGATTTGATGAGGTGGATAGAATACAACAGACTCAACATTTAATAACAGAATCACCACCAGTAATGTGTCTTTTAAGATGGCGCTGTTCTAGCGGCAGGCTGTTGTAGCAGCTAACTGTCTTCGTAAGATCAGTGAGTGCATGTTGTTTGTTGTATATTTGCTGCTATGACAACTTAGTTTCCCTCTGGGATTAATAAGGTTTTTCTGATTCTGATGTTGGTGCTGAATCTATGAGGCACAATAATGCTACACAATACAATAGTCTGCAGTAGTACCCTACAATAATTTTAACTGGATTAAAAAATAAAAATCTTTTTGCTGTCACAGGTGACTGGCAGGAGGTGAAGAGTCTGCTGGAGCAGCATCTCAGCAGCTGTAGATAGAAACATTGGTTCTTCATCAAAAGTGACAAAGAAAAATCGCAAGGAAAAAAACATAAAGAAAGAAACATTATTCTACAGACATTAATCTGTAATTATTTTGATTATTATTAATAATAATAACATCTAATTCTGTA